TGATTGAGTCCGACCTTTCGTAAATCAGAGATTTTAGATTCAATATTTATCATACTCCTTAAATATCAGTTATTCTTATTTCTCAGAGAATATATTTTAAATTCATTTGGACTAATATCTTAGATCGATGAAATAGTCGACACAAATTTGAATACTTTACACCAAAAAAATAATTCAAAAATTATGACCCAGTCCTTGAATGTAGTCAATTTTGCAAACATGCATGCGGTGCGAAGGCCTGCCACACCTTCAACCCAGACAAAAAAAAAAAAAAAAAAATCACCGTTCCCACCAGTACGATGGCCTGTAAATGTTGCATGCGGCAAGGGCCCAGTGAATGAATGCTGTTTGTCGAGCTTTAAAGAAACTTGAAAAATGTTGGTGGGAGGTTTTAGGTGTTGTTGTTTAGTATTCGATTCATTATGATGTCTTACCTATGTTAAAGTTGATATGCGAAAACAATTTGGATATAATTTTGATAATTTCCAAAGTATAGGGAAAATTGGCATTACAAACCAAACAACCAACTGGGTCATGAAACACTATAAATTTCATAATAAAAAATATCGGCATAACTTTGGACACTTATAACAAAAAAAAAAAGAGATAAAAATAATTGGATCGGTCCTCACATTTTGCAAAAAAAATTTGGGTAGCTAATATGGGCAAAAAAATTTTTGTGTAGCTCTTGATAAAAAAAAGTGTAATATGGATAATTCTTGACCAAAATTTGAATAATTCGTAATTAAAATTGTATAATTTGAATAGTTCTTTGACTAAAATTTGAATAAAAATTTCGTCATGAATTATTCAATTTATTTTTTTGTCCATATTTAAATATTATATGATAAATTTATAATAAAAAATTATTAATAATCTGAATTTTTTCTATTTGAGGGATCACATAAAAATATATTTAATATTTTAAAGACTAAAATAATATAATTGAAATATTAAAAACTAAAATAAAATAAATCTTATACTTTAAAGACATTCAATACAATTAATCCAAATATATTTTGAATGAGGCAAAAAACAGAAAAAAAAAATAATTGACCCCTTGATTGGACAGTTTCTCAACGAGGCCAAAAAGTCCTGAAGTTGGTCAATTGGCAATTTTGTCCCCCACTCATCCTTTAAATATATCCTACTTTCATCAGCTATTAATCTCTCTCTCTCCTCTTCTTGTAGTCACCACACAACACCACACCAGACCACCTCTCATACCATACGGTCCACACCATTATAGCTCACATTTCAATCATGACAAGCACCACTGTCACCACCATCACCCCCCCCCCCCCCCCCCCCCCCCCCCCCCCCCCCCCCCCTTTTTTTTCTTCTCCCCCCCCCCCCCCCCCCCCCCCCCCCCCCCCCCCCCCCCCCCCCCCCCCCCCCCCCCCCCCCCCCCCCCCCCCCCCCCCCCCCCCCCCCCCCCCCCCCCCCCCCCCCCCCCCCCCCCCCCCCCCCCCCCCCCCCCCCCCCCCCCCCCCCCCCCCCCCCCCCCCCCCCCCCCCCCCCCCCCCCCCCCCCCCCCCCCCCCCCCCCCCCCCCCCCCCCCCCCCCCCCCCCCCCCCCCCCCCCCCCCCCCCCCCCCCCCCCCCCCCCCCCCCCCCCCCCCCCCCCCCCCCCCCCCCCCCCCCCCCCCCCCCCCCCCCCCCCCCCCCCCCCCCCCCCCCCCCCCCCCCCCCCCCCCCCCCCCCCCCCCCCCCCCCCCCCCCCCCCCCCCCCCCCCCCCCCCCCCCCCCCCCCCCCCCCCCCCCCCCCCCCCCCCCCCCCCCCCCCCCCCCCCCCCCCCCCCCCCCCCCCCCCCCCCCCCCCCCCCCCCCCCCCCCCCCCCCCCCCCCCCCCCCCCCCCCCCCCCCCCCCCCCCCCCCCCCCCCCCCCCCCCCCCCCCCCCCCCCCCCCCCCCCCCCCCCCCCCCCCCCCCCCCCCCCCCCCCCCCCCCCCCCCCCCCCCCCCCCCCCCCCCCCCCCCCCCCCCCCCCCCCCCCCCCCCCCCCCCCCCCCCCCCCCCCCCCCCCCCCCCCCCCCCCCCCCCCCCCCCCCCCCCCCCCCCCCCCCCCCCCCCCCCCCCCCCCCCCCCCCCCCCCCCCCCCCCCCCCCCCCCCCCCCCCCCCCCCCCCCCCCCCCCCCCCCCCCCCCCCCCCCCCCCCCCCCCCCCCCCCCCCCCCCCCCCCCCCCCCCCCCCCCCCCCCCCCCCCCCCCCCCCCCCCCCCCCCCCCCCCCCCCCCCCCCCCCCCCCCCCCCCCCCCCCCCCCCCCCCCCCCCCCCCCCCCCCCCCCCCCCCCCCCCCCCCCCCCCCCCCCCCCCCCCCCCCCCCCCCCCCCCCCCCCCCCCCCCCCCCCCCCCCCCCCCCCCCCCCCCCCCCCCCCCCCCCCCCCCCCCCCCCCCCCCCCCCCCCCCCCCCCCCCCCCCCCCCCCCCCCCCCCCCCCCCCCCCCCCCCCCCCCCCCCCCCCCCCCCCCCCCCCCCCCCCCCCCCCCCCCCCCCCCCCCCCCCCCCCCCCCCCCCCCCCCCCCCCCCCCCCCCCCCCCCCCCCCCCCCCCCCCCCCCCCCCCCCCCCCCCCCCCCCCCCCCCCCCCCCCCCCCCNCCCCCTTTCCCCCCCACCCCCCCCCCCCCCCCCCCCAACATTCTTCTAATTATAATCGCATCAACCCATGGGCTGGCTTTCCTTTACCATTATTACTTCACTTATAAAGTCAGCAAAAAGCTATTACTTGGCAAAACAAGGCACTTTACTCCTAAAAAATTTATTTTTCATAAATACTTTAAGTTTACGGTGGATTATAAGTCTTTGACTAGATTGAATGAAACATTAATCGATGTGCACTTAAACTAGTTCAGACACATTAGACCGTTGAAAAAAAAAATCAAATCACTCTCTTCCTAAGTACTGGGTTGGTAATCCACCACTAGAGTTGGAGAAATCAATCTAATGATTGTAATTTCCATAGAGTTTAATTAAAGGCTCCGAAATCCAGTTCAAAAATAAAAAACCCATAGAAATCAATTTCATAGTATTTTCAATTTCGAACAATATTACGCCATTTAATTTGGACCTAATTAGAAATTTAATTCTTTGTACTTATTAAATTAATTGTGAATTCTAAGGATAGGTATAGTCTATTTTCAATCCAATAACTACAATTAATTAAGATTTCAGATTATAATTTTTTTTTTCAATTTATTAACTAATTGAAATCAAGAAGTATTTAAACTTTTTTCTAAATTGTCTCACTTTTGAAACTTTATTCTATGATATTTTTAACTTATTTTTTAATTTATCATTTTTTATAGTATAGTATTGGTTTAACTCATGTTTTTTTAATATACATGTCTAACTTAAAACTTTATATTCATGTAAGAGTATCTCCACCCTTTACTCTTTTTTCAACTCCAATTTAAATTTAAGTAAAAAAATCTCCAATCTATATCCAAACTCATACAAAATTAAGAGACACTCAAATTTTTACTAAAATCAAGAGAGATTCAAACATTTACTCAAATCACTAATAGTTAGATTTCATTCTTCTTTCAAGATTCAATTGTTATATTTCATTCTCTTTTAAATTTAAATATGTCCTTTAAATTTGAGTCAAAGGTCACTGTAGGAGAAAAAAATCTAGTACCTAATAGTGATAATAATGTGAAGATTGTGTCTGATTTTTGAGAAAAATGAACAAAGTGCACATTCTTCCTGTAAAATAAACAAACTGCAAAGAACTAAGGTTGGTTAGTCAAAAACACTTGGATGCTTAAGATAATAAGAGTCGGAGTACAAGCAAGTAAATTACAGGGAAATAATTGGATACCTTAAGACTTAAGCTCATCCAGTATTTATATGATCATATTCCTGATCTAGTCAAACTTAAAATTCTGGTAAAAATAAAGTGGCACAACCCCGATTCTATCTAGATTCTCATTAGTCTAATTTGTAGTCTCATTTGACTTTCAATCTTGCTGGTCAGTTTTAGAGATCATATGTTTACAATGTGCACCTTATCAATTCTAGGGCATTATCTTTTCAAATGCCTTGGGTTTCTAGGATTGCCTAGCTATCTATTATGTTTGAATAGAGCTCTATTACCGGAGGAGAACTTTAGTCTCATAATATCTCTTTCCGAATATACTTCGCTAGATTTTGTTTGACACATACTTCGAGGGGGCGGCTCAACGGTATTGTTGAAAAAACTTGGGCCCTAAAATTTTAAATATAAAAAAATTAAATTCATAAATAATTTAAGCCCTCTAAAAATGTTTTATAAAAATAAAAGCCCAATTAAAAAAAAAATTAAGGCATTATTTCAAAGAAGGTTCCATAATTTATAAGTATATAGTAATAGTCTGAATAAAAAATTTAAATACATGCCCAAATAAAAGATTTCAACTTAAATAGATTAAATTTATTAATTCAGTTGTAAAATTAATAGGCCCTAAAGATTTATTTATTTTTTTTAAAAAAACTAAAAATAAAACTAAAACCATTTAAAAATTTAGTCTTAATTCTCAAAAAAGTCGATCATTCTTTCTCTCTCTTATCATCAACATCAAATATAATAACAAAAGTTTGAATATAAAATTTTAATTAATATTTTGTATTTAAAAAAATAAATTTATTATTAATATCAAAAATAAAAAAAAAAACTTCATTTATTGTATTATTTGAAGCCCCAAAATGTCTCGAGCCACACTCTCAATTGATTTCTTTGTGGACTTTTAAGCCAAATTGTGTTCGCTTGAGCCTTTATTTGTTTGGCGAAACTTTTATTTATTTGATTATAAGTAATTCCTTTTAATTTGTGTTAATTGTCACGATGAGAAATAAGTTACGGGTCACACTAGAAAGTACAAAAAAAAAGAAGATAATTTTGTCAAACAAACAGAGTGATCTCCGGATTGCAGGGCCTACTATATATCCAATAAATAAATCAATCAATCCAACCTTAAGAAAAATACAAAAGTAAGAAACAAAAAGTTATGATTAAAATAATTATAAGATCAAACATGCGTGAATTGTCCTTGAATCTTTCCTCCATCAGGTCCACTTTCAAGTGAAAGCTGCTTTAACCATTCAGACGTTCGATGACGCGACATGGATTGCTTTCCTCGACAAACCTTTGTCGTCTTCGTCATTGCTTCCTCTTTCTCTTCTTTTGCTTGTGCCTCAGTCATAGTAACACCGCTCTTAATTGTACTAATTCTTGAAGGAACAGTTTCAACTGCATTAATCGAACACTTGCAACCACCGCATAACGCCCCGTTTCTATCGAAGAACCCTTGCTTCGGTTTCTTCTCAATGTTCAAGATATTCTTCATCTTGTTGTTGTCGCCGTCGTTAATCCTGTTGTTCTTGCTGTTTATAATCCTATTTTTTGTACTGTAACGCTGATTATTGTTCTGGTTGTTGCTACGAAGCTTGAGGTCTAATGATGCGATCTCTGGTTTTTGTACTAAACCCAACCGGAGAAAGCTCCAAATCATCGACTGCTGACTATGGTGACTGAAATTATTGAAATTGCCATGGCGGGCACTTGAAAACCGAATCTGGGGTGTTGGACTTGGGTGGGAATGAAACTGGTTTCGATTTCTTCTTGGTTTGTACGGTTTGCTAGTTAATGCACTGCAACTGTTTGATGAATTGCGGCTATTAATACTACTACTTCTGCTGCTGTAACTGCTAGACCCACCTGAATAACAACGACCCACAGACTCAGCCCTTGAAACGCACCGGCTAAAGTTCCGGCTATCATTTCCGATTCCGGCGAAGCCGCTCTCGGAACTGACGGAGTGACGTAGCGGAAGAATTTGTCCCTGAAAGAAGACCTCGTCGGCGGCACACATTTCGGTTTCTGTCAAAACAGAGCCACCCCATGAGCCAAAATTGAAGTCTTCCTGGGGTTCATTGGCTTCAGCTTCATGTTTAACAGATTGACTCTCTTCATTGATTGGAAAATCACACAGTGACAATGTTGTTTCTTCCTCCTCCTCCTCCTCCTCCTCTACTTCATTTTCAGTGGAATTGACATCAACCTTTTTCTCATCAGAGCAGCTACTTTCCATCTTCTATTGAAGAAGCCGTTGTTTTGATAAAAAGCAGTGTGGGTTTAAGATTTTCTGTGAAAAAAGAAATAGACTTGAGCTTTATAAAGAAGGGAATAGAGATTTGAAAAGAGGGCGACAAGCGGAATTTAAAGCAATATAGCTACAGCTCAGACTGCTTAGCAGAAGAACCATAGTCAATGCAGGCGACCCAAACTATGTTCCTTTTTTTGTATGGTAATGAAGAGAACAATAACATGCCGGCCATTATAGTAGCACCCCAGCTCTCTATTTTAAGTCTTTTGATATAAAATAGGGTCCAACTAGATATCAAAAAATATTTTTTTCGATATTATTCTTTTATTTTTTATTCATTAAAACACAACACTTGTAAAATTATTTTATTAATAAATAATTACAAATTATTCAAATCATAGACAATAGCTAGTCAGTGGCGGTACTTAGCCTTATTTTATTTAATAATGCTATTTGTACTCGTTATCAATAATAGTGTCATAATTTAGTGTCGTATCAAATTATATTCCAATAACATTTATCTTTTATACATGTCAAGAGAAGCTTTGGAAAGACTCTACCCTCTTTTATTTTAAATATTTTCACACTTTTGGGTTATTCAATGAAAAAAATAATTTTCATTAATTAAATTATTCTATGTATATAATCAACTCAACTTACTAAATACTCTAAATTTAATTTTTTTAAAGATCAATTAAGCAATAACATCATTTCTGTCGATTATTTTTCAAATTTATATTTTGTAAAAAATAATTAAGCTAATTAATAGGTAATTTTTTTAACAATTTTAGGGTGCAAGTAGGTTTGGTAAGACATACTCAATTTAGTGCATCACATAAGGCCACCGCTAATATTACGCTTCGGTTTGGAAATGAAATTCATATATTTTTAGTCAATATTTTTTAATATTAAATCATCTATGATGAATTTATATAAACCCACATTATATACAAGTGAATCTCAATTTAATACACATGGTTGATCCACAATTTAAAAAAATTCCAAGAATATATGGGGATAGTGATCCGATTTGTTGAAGTGTTAGTAGGGTAGGAACATTTTTGGCAATAATCATATGTATGTATCTGCATGGTACATAAACAGTACACAGATACTGCCATATTGGGGGACACAGATTTTGAAATGTGGAATGCAACTCGGCTATAGTGCTATACAGTGATGGATAGGGGTGTCCAGGGCCGGTTGCTATGGGGTCTCATTCGGTCCAAAAAAATAAGCCTCAAATTCGATAGACTCGATTGTTGACTTGCTTGAGTTCAATCTCAATATCCTTCAAGAGAGAGTTTGTGGTTGCCCCCAACCGGCCTAATAGCCCGCCCACAAAAATCCGTTAAAATCTAGTCTAAGAACCCGCCTACACGCACTTCCTTTGAGAAAAAAGTTAGATACTATAAATAATGTATTTTTTCTTTTTCATGTATTAAATATACACGTTTTAAAGGGTAAAATTGTGCAAATGATAGATAGGTTGGTAAGTCATAACTTAGTTGGGATGTACTCATTCTATTGTGATGTAGTTCCACCCTATTCATAAATAAAATGATTCATTATTTACTTTTTGTCTATTTTGACTCTACTTTTAATTCAAAAATGTAATTAATTCAAAAGTATTAATTATTTTTAAATGAAGTTGTTTATAAAAAAGTTCGCCTAGCAAAGCCTGCCCAATAATTTCGCAAGTTAGGTTGCCGGTAGCCTATTCCTATCCCAAGCCCGGTCCAGCCCGCTCGATAATCCACTTGGATAAGAGCTTGGGCCTACTCTACCTAGACCCAACCCGAAAATTTTTTTTGCAAGCGGCCCAATTCATAGACACCCCCAGTGATGGACAACTTTGTTTGGTGTTGTCCCTCCTAAGATAGGAATTACAAGAATCTCATTCTTGCCCATTCAAACAATGAGTTGTACTAGTATTTGTATTCAATTGCGTAAATGTCTTAAGATTCAAGGATATTGAGAGATAAGTCAGTAGAAAATCTGCCCTATAATCAGCAGAAAGTCTGCCCTGAGGATCAGCAGAAAATCTGCCCCATGATCAACAGAAGATCTGCTGTAGAAGCAGTTCAGCACAGCACCTTGGAAACATAAATGCTTTCTTATCTTGATTAATAACTACTGCCAGCATTTTTCAAGCTATTTTTATTCTTTCTTTACCTGTATAAATTACCCTATTGAATTCCTCTGTTTTTCAAGTGTTCAACTGCATATTTTGAGTATATTCAATCTTTCACAATCTTCTTGTTCCAAACTATTTTCTCTTAACAAAATTGTAGCTTGTCTTTCTCATCCTTCATTCAATTCTAACATGATATCAGAGCTAGATCTTTGACCTGTTCTTTTACTCATCTTCCTCACTCTGATTTCCTTCTGTTGCTGTTTACTCCCATTCAAGTTTCATCATGTCTACAACAGACAAAAATCTCTCACCATCTGAGGACCCCAACAACCCATATTTCCTTCACCATTCTGATGGCATTAATACTGTTGTAATTACTCCACCTCTATCTGGCCCCAACTACCTATCATGGAGTCGATCCTTCACCCTTGCACTCTCTATCAAGAATAAATTAGGCTTCCTTGATGGAAACATCACCACTCCTGTTGCAACCAACAATCTTTATGGACCATGGGTTAGATGTAATAATATCATCCTCTCTTGGATCCTTCACTCTATCTCCCAGGAGATATCATCAAATGTCTGCTTCATAGGTGATGCCAAGAAAGTATGGAACAAACTAACAGACAGATTTGCACAACTTGACAATGCTCGGATTTATCAACTTCAGTATCAACTTGGGGACATCATGCAAGGAACTCAATCTGTAAATGAGTATTTTACTCAACTGAATGCAGTATGGGAAGAAATACACAACTATCGACCATCACCAAACTGCTCATGTGGTCTATGTACTTGTGGTGCACTTGGTTCTGTTGGAGAAAGGCAGCAGACAGACTATGTCTTTAAGTTCCTTATGGGCTTAAATGAGACATATGATGGCATTCGAGGCCAAATCATCATCATGAGTCCCATGCCCTCACTTGACAAGGCCTTCTCACTAGTACTTCAAGAGGAAAGACAAATGCAGGCTCTAGTTGCCATTCTTCCTGCTGCAGAATCTTGTGCTTTGGCGGCATCCCACATTCATACCAAGAAGAAAGATAAATCTGACCTCACTTGTTACAATTGCGGAAAAGCTGGATGCACTAAGGACAAGTGCTACAGGTTAATTGGATTCCCTCCTGATTTCAAATTTACAAAGACCAGACAAGGAAATAATCACTCAGCAAATCAAACCACCAGTCACCTTTCTAATGGCAGTGCAGCAGAACCTGCTCAGCTAGCTTTGAGTCAAGCTCAGATATAGCAACTCATGTTTTTGGCCAACTCTCAAACATCACAGCTCAACATAGAGGGCTTAAGCAACGAAAAAAAATTCCTCACAACCTGGCCCTTCCAATCATGGCTCCCACATGGCAGGTATGATAAACCACTCACCCTCATCCAAAACTCCTACCCTTCCCTCTGAACATAATCACCATTTTTCATCCATGACCACCTGCATTTCACACAAACCAAAACACATCACATGGATAGTGGACACTGGGGCCACAGATCACATGGTCTGCTCCACTACTCTTCTCTCTTCCGTCACCTCCACTTCTCAAGCTTATGTACAGATGCCTAATGGAGAGAAAGCACAAGTCAATCACATAGGCACTGTCCAGATCAGTGATGCCTTAACTCTCCATGGAGTACTGTGTATACCATCTTTTACTTTTAATCTTCTCTCAGTCAGCAAATTAACTCAAGACTCTTCTTTGTGTCTTTATTTCTCTAAAAACCAGTGTCTCATTCACGGCCTAACTACATGGACAATGATTGGAGTTGCTAGAGTTCGAGAGGGACTTTATTTTCTTGATTCCAATTCACTAAGAAGCTCTTTTGACAATCAAAGTCCAGCAATAACCAATTCTGATCCCAGCAATTTATCTCATGTCCAACAAGTTTCAGCAAGTGAAGATTTTGATTTATGGCATTTTAGACTAGGGCATGTATCAAATCAGAGGTTAAATTTGATTTCTTCTCATGCCTAAGATGTAAAATGTACTATTTTTAATCAATGTAGTATCTGTCACTTTGCAAAACAGAAAAGAAATCCTTTTCTCCACAGTGTTTCTTCCACTTCCTCTCCTTTTGAGTTAATCCATTGTGACACACCTCAAGGATATCAATATTTCCTCACTATAGTGGATGACTATAGTCGAATGACATGGATCTTTTTGATGAAGTTTAAATCTGAAGCTCGAAACCTCTTGCAATCCTTTATCCAAATGACACAAACTCAATACAGTCTCAAGGTCAAACAAATTAGATCTGATAATGGATCAGAGTTTTTGATGCAAGATTTCTATAATAAACATGGAATCTTCTATCAAAAGACATGCATTGATACTCCTCAACAAAATGGAGTAGTTGAAAGGAAACATCAGCACCTCCTTTCCACTACTCGGGCTTTGTTATTCCAGGCCTCTCTTCCAACCAAGTTTTGGGGAGATGCTATTCTAACGAAAGTTCATTTGATAAATAGAATCCCCACTCTTGTGCTCAACAATCGGTCACCTTATAAAATCTTCTTTTCAGCTCCTTCTTTATATTCACATTTAAGAGTCTTTAGTTGCTTATGTTTTATCTCCACTCTTAAACATAACCAGACCAAGCTAGATCCAAGAGCTAGGAGGTGTATTTTCATAGGATATCCGCTAAGAGTTAAGGGGTACAAGGTTTATGATTTGGACAGCCACAAGTATAGCATCTCGAGAGATATCATTTTTCATGAAACTCGGTTTCCTTTCCAGCATCACCACTACAATTCTACATCTTCTCCATCTTTGGAACTCATTCTAACTCCCATCCCTTCGTATGCAGACCTACAAAATCCTCTTCCCTCATCTTCCTTTCTTCCTTTCCTCCTTTCAATGATAGAGATCCACTCTCACCTTATTACCTTGACCCTGCCTTTTCAACCGACCCCTCTTCTCCACTTCCTGATCCTATTCCTCCCACCACTCTACCAACCATAACCTTACCCTCACCTTCCCATTTACCACAAAGTTCACTAGCCCCTCCACCTCAGAGAAGATCAGATAGGGTCAGAAATCCACCTAAATACCTCCTTGATTATCACTGCAATTTAGCATCTTCACCATCACCTCATCACTCCACTGCTCACCCACTTGAACATTATCTCTCCTACACTCATTTCTCTCTTTCTCACAAGGTCTATACACTCTCCTTATCCTCTACCCGAGATCCTGCTACCTATGCAGAAGCCGTTCTCTCTGAGCATTGGACCAAAGCCATGACAGATGAGTTAAATGCCTTGGAGGCCAACAATACTTGGACAGTCACTACTCTTCCAAAAGGAAAGAAATCTATTGGTTGTCGATATGTCTACAAGACCAAATTATACTCAGATGATTCCATAGAAAGGCACAAGGCCTGGTTGGTAGCCAAGGGCTACACTCAAAGAGAGGGATTCGACTTTCATGAATCTTTTAGTCCAGTTGCAAAGCTCACTACTGTTCGTGTCTTCCTTGCTTTGGCAGCACTTCACAATTGACATTTACATCAATTGGATGTTCACAATGCATTCCTCCATGGGGATCTAGAAGAGGAAATCTAAATGGATTTAACTTCGGGATTTCAGCCTAAGGGGGAGTCACTTACAGATCAAAAATTAGTTTGTAGGCTGCACAAGTCCCTTTATGGCCTTAAGCAAACCTCAAGGCAATGTCACTCAAAATTTTCCACATCTCTCATTGCCATTGGTTTCCAACAATCCAGGTCAGATTATTCTTTGTTTACAAAGACTCATGATGGTCAATTTGTTGCATTGTTAGTATATGTTGATGACATTTTCATTGGAAGTAATGATCTCAAAACAATTGACTTCATCAAGACATATTTGCACAACCAAATTAAGATCAAAGATCTTGGCAATCTAAAGTACTTCCTTGGCTTAGAAATATCAAGATCAGAAAAAGGAATTCATTTGAGTCAAAGAAAGTACACTCTTGAGATTTTAGAGGATGCTGGTATGCTCGGATGCAAGCCTACCAACACACCAATGGAATTGAATCATAAACTTTCTCATTTGGCAGCAGATCCTCTTATCGACATTACAAGTTATAGGAGGTTGGTTGGAAGATTGATTTATTTGTCCATTACAAGACCGGATATCACATACTCTGTTAACATCTTGAGTCAATTCATGGATCGCCCTTCACAGATCCATCAATAAGCTGCACATTGAGTCTTGAGATACCTCAAGAGATCCATAGGCCAAGGCCTTCTATACTCTTCCAATTCTGCACCATTCCTCAGGGTATTTAGCGACTCAAATTGGGCAGCTTGCCCTGAGACCCAAAGATCTACTACTGATTTTTGCATCTTCTTAGGAGATTCTTTAATTAGCTGGAAATCAAAAAAGCAAACCACCATATCTAGGTCCTCTGCCGAAGCTGAATACCGCGCATTGGCTAACACTAGTTGTGAGATTGTATGGTTGATAAATCTGCGGCAAGATTTTAATACCAGCCATCCGAAACCTGCCCTCCTATATTGTGATAACCAGGCAGCCATACAACTCACCAAAAATCCAATGTTCTATGAAAGAACAAAGCATATTGAGTTGGACTGTCATCTTGTTAGAGAGAAGGTGCTTGCTGGAATCATTACACTAATACACGTGAGTTCAAAATTACAGATTGCAGACATCCTAACAAAGGCTCTACCTACTACTGCATTCCATTTTCTACAGTCCAAGATGAACACACTTAATTTGTGCGTCCACCTTGAGGAGGAGTCTCAAGATTCAAGGATACTAAGA